TATATTTTTATATATATATATATATATATATATATATATATATATATATTATATCTCAATAAGTCTGTCATCATCAATATATTGAACAAAAATGCCATTGAATCATTTATGTTTATAACTTTTTGTAAAATTAAGTAAAAAATTAATGATATTCTTTGTATTTTATGTTGGGACTTAATTGTTAATTAAGGTGATGATAGTGAACTTGTTCATTTCTTGATGTCTAGTTTATTTTAGCATCTATTGATCACTCTGCTAGTCGAACTTGTGGTGTAGTTAGTCTATTTGCTAATAGACATGTCCTTGTCAAGATTATGCAAATAATCTTTATTAATATTTTTTAAAATTTATACTGGACATAGGCATCTCTATCCTTTGATTCTTTTAGAACTTGTTGAGTTTTTTTTATTGTGATGTTGGTTCATTGTTTTGTGGTATCTGCAGTTTGGAGGGTGCTATTAGGTTCAGGAATCCAGTTGCTGATAGAACTTTGGACTTTCAATGTAATAATCTACCCTTCTACATTCTCAGATCTTTATTGGTAGTGCAATTCTCCTTTTATCTCGTCATTTTAAATGCTTAGATGACTCGTCTCACAGAAGTGCCTACTTACTGCTGGCTTTTTCCTAGTATTGACATGCTAGAACCTATGTATTTATCCGCGGCACCAATTAGCTATATGATAGTTGATTCTTAGGTCTGCATAAATTTGTGGCGTTCATTCATGTGTACATGTACATATTCTTGAATAGTTGAACAAGGGATCTTTATTAACTAAACTTACATTCCAGAATGTTAATATGTCAAGTTAGTGTCCTCTTTTCTCTGATGAAGTACCTTAACAGTGGAACACTGAAGAAAAGTTGCAAAGAGCAACAGCCAATGATTCTGGAATTTGTAAAGGCTCCCCTTTGGTTTGACTTTGTGTATAACTCACAATTTTTTTTGTTTCTTGCCAAGTGATCTGAATTGTATTTTATTTGTAAATATTTTTGATAAAAGGGAAGAGGTCAACCAGTATATAACGAGGTTTCTATTCTCTAGGGAGGAGAAAGAGACAGAAAGTTAGTGATTTGACACAAGTAGCTGCTAATACAACTCCTTTCTGTACTTTCTCTCTCACTTATCTATGCTGTCAATATTGCTTCTTTTCTTGGTTCTCGTCTCCTCCCCCACCCCCACTTTCTTCCTTGTCCATGTGTCTGCATTTCATGGATGCTAGAAAACTTCATTTGAATTAAACAGTTAGATTTGGAATCTTATTTGCTGGATATTACTGAAAGATGAGTACATCTTTGAAGTCATTCTTCATTGGATTCATTTTGGGAGATTGTTGTTTACCTTTAAATGGGTAGAGATCTGAGCATCTAACCTCCCTGATGTCAAAGCTTCTTTTGGCTTGTTGTCACCAGAATGATAGGTGTCTTCCCTTGTGACTACCATAAAGAATCTCTGTAAAATACCTGAGTAGAGCAGAACAGGGAATTGAACACGTACTTAGTACATTAAGCTATGTGCCTAGTGCTGTGATAACATGATTCCAATCAAATAGGGAAAATTAGCAGGTGAAATGTAGTGACACAAGGAATCATAAGCTTTAAAGTAATGTGAAACTGAAACATGAGTCATCTGATGACTATGCTTTCAAATACAAAGGTATGTCTGCACATACATTACGTACACATAGGTTAAGCTTCGCTAAACATTGATGACATGTTTCAGTTTTATAGATTTGTTTGGCAATTCTGTGATTGTGATAGTCCAATGCATCAAACATATTTTAAATCATGACTACCAAACCTCTTTGCTCGAACTTGAGCTCTTAAGTTTGGATATTCTTCATCTTTATTTTAATGATTTTTCATATAACAAATAATTTTTGGTATCTGTTCCTTCAGTTATTTTAATCCATTATAATAATCTCATGACTGCTTATTAATTGTTTGATTAGTTGTTCTGCTAGTCTTTGTGGGTTACTAATGTTTGATCTCATTTTCACATTTATTGTTCTTAATACTAGCATCTCTCTTTTGTTGACCATTAGAGACGTTTGACCTTTTTAGCCCTTGTACCTTGATTGCCAGTGAAAAAAAAATATGTTGAAATATTGGTCTCAGATAATTTTTTACTTCTATATTCATACTTTGATCAATGATGTGATGTAATCAGCTTTTTCTTTGCGAAACTTGTTTCAATAAATGGTTTACTTCTCAAGGCTTAAGATAGGGTTGTAAATGGGCAATTTTGGCATAAATTTTGTTTTATAGGGTTGTATATAGATTTTGCCTGCCTACTTGACTGTTTCTTTTCCTTGCTTGTTGGTATCACGCATTCTTTTTGATGCCACGTTGAGGATTTATTTGTCCGCCAGTTTGACCTTTCGAATATGTACATCTTGCCAATTTTCCTATACTCTTGTGAGATCCTATTTACACACAAATAAATGAAACAAAGTTTGTCACAATATTGGCAAAAATAATCTTCAATCAGTTGCATGAGATCCACATCAGTCTCATCGAGGTCGGGCGCAACAACGTACTGGCTCAAGTACTCCCTCAGCAGCCGAGTGACTGTTGGAACATTACGAAGCTCCATCTTCCTTAACCCGGTCGTCGTAGTTGATACCGGAAGCTTGTCCAGCCTGATCGTTCGACTCATCGTCATCCGTGCTCCGAGCCGGGAGAATACCACATCAATCAGCTTCTTCGGGTTAAGAGAACGGTGCCAGTACCGGAAGGTCGTGAAGGGGGTCGGCAGGACGACCCCAGCCGTGTAGGCCGCCGGCCAGATATTCTCCAAATGGACCCGCCTCGTGACCTCCTTGATCATCACGGGCGCGAGCCGCTTCGATCTCAGCCTGTTGTGGACGCACAGAAAGTTTGACTTCCGCCATCCGGACGACCTCGTTCCGGACCTGGATCCTGGCCGGCACGTCGGTGATGAAGACGACGAGCTTCTTAGTGGCCTTCACCCGGACGCCGATATGCCAGGCTTTGAAGTAGCCTGGTGGGCGGAGTGCCCACCGAAGGAACTCCTTGGAGTAGTTAAACCGGAACGTGTTCTCGTCGTCCTCGATGTAGTTGTTGGCCGAGCGCAGGTCTGTTCGTCGTCCATGTCGCAGGTGGTCCACTCGTCGAGGGCGGGGGGGTTGTAGGGCTCAGGCTTGATGGCGGAAAGGGGCGCCGGCGGCTCAATGGGGCCCTCGGAGAGGCTTGTGTCGCCGGCGTCCTTGAATTGCCCCACCGGCTGGGTCTCCCAGAAGCGGTGCCGCATACCGACGGCGACAGCCTCCTGGATCCTGTGAGCAAGAGACTCAACCACCCCGTCGCCCTCCGAGGCCGCGACGGCGCCGCCGTCGTATCGGTTCCATGCTGCAGATCTGGGTATGGAATTTGCTCCTCACCAGGAGAGAAGGAGCCGTTGGCACCGTCCACCATGGCGGAAACTTGAGACGAACCCAATTAAAAGAAATAGAAGTAGGAATCGATCGCGAAGGAACCAAAAACGGCGACTCAAAGAGAAGGGATCGGACACCTTTGTCGATCAACAGATCTAAGTGAATCAAAGGTCATCGACAAATTACGGTTTGGAGAGAGAGAGAGAGAGAGAGCCATGAGAGCTGCTTAGTCGCCTGCAACAGTCGGCAGCGGCGTACTCTTGTTATAATCGATATCGGATCGGGTGATATATAAAATATTATAACGGCTTTCGCCTTAATCAATGCATGACTAAAAGAATCAATCAATCAAATTATTGATCCCGTGTTAAGGAGCACGGTTTGCCGGCCATGCTAAATGACACCACCATTCCTTGTTGGCATCAGCGTGGGCTGAGGATCCCAAATTTCCCGAATCTTTATCTTCCCAACCCTACAATCCTCTTCCTTCGGTCCGCGTCCCGTTCCCCTTCGTCGACTCTCGATTGGTGAATTCTCGTCCGAGTATTGGATCACACAGAAGAATCTGTGTCGTCAGGGGAATCCGGTTCGAGACTGCTGCGTGCTGCATCAGCTTTCTTGGCCTTTTCCGGGAGAAAAATCGGACTTTTGCCGCTGGGTTCGCTGGGGTTTTCCTGGCAGAGACTGGTAGCTTGTTGTCGACGGGAAGAGTTAATCTTGAGCTAGTATTGGATGGTCGATAGGGTTTCGT